ATAGTATCTAGAATTATCAAGCTCAAAGCTACCAAAGTACAAAAAGTGCATGATGAGGTCTGGTGATGACAAATCATCTAGTGTGGCTATAACACACCGGGTATGGAATCTGGAGGGAATGGCAAAGGGAAAGTAGGTGCATCTCAGGTTTCAGGACACGATTGTAAGTGTTTAGGCCAGGTCAAAGGTTTTGAATTGCACCCTGTAGTCATTTTGCCAATACTACAGGGCCATAATGTGAATTCCATAAATAGAGGGACAATGACATGTTCATTTTAATATCTCCAGAGGCTGAAGAGTAGATTTTTATATATTGGCTAATTTAATGAGTAGGAACTCAGTGAATATTTGATTGATAGATGAATAATCAGAAGTAAATAATGGACATAGAGGTCTTTTTCATGGTTCATCAATATTTTCATAAGGTAATTTGAACCATTTCAAAAGTTGCTTTGGGAGCTAAGGGTTTGGAGGAAAGAATACCAATCAGGAGGTTCTTACAGGATGATAGAAAAGATTTCATCAGAACCTGATTGATTATAGGACCTTTAAGTAGGTAAGGAAATAAATGGCTGAGAATGGTAGAGGTAGATGCTCTAGGGCTTCATATATTCATTCTGCAAGCATTTAATGAGTACCTGTTATATTTCTGAGCACTGTTTACCTCTGGGGATAGAGATAAGTGAGAAATATTTCCTGTGCTCAAAGGATTTATTCTGTTGGTAAAGAGAAAAATAAAAACTGATTATAGGGCAGTAAGATAAGGGCAGGAAACTAACATGTTAAGTACTGACTTTGTATCATAAAGGCCAGGGGCTGGGGTTGTGGCTCTGCAGTAGAGCATTCGCCTAGCATGTGTGAGGCCCTGGGTTCGATCCTCAGCACCACATAAAAATAAGTAAAATAAAGGTATTGTGTCCAACTACAATTGAAAAATAAACATTAAAAAATAAATAAATAAAGGCCAACCTATCATGTCTAAGTATTTAAAAGCTATAGTCAGATTAATAAACTGTTAGTCTACTACATTTTCTTGCCTTAATACATATACCTTCATAACAACCTGGAAGGCCAGGTTCAAATTCAGAATTCTCAGACTCATCAGCTGTTCCTAGCCCATAGTGTCCCACCCCCTTTTCATCTTGTACAGGTTTCATGCTTCCACAAACAGCCACCCTTTTGTCACCTCTGTGTCCTGGAGTATACACCCATCAGTAGGGTAACTCTACCAAAAAAGGCCTGGGAATTTCTGGGCCTGGGATGTGCTCTATAAGGGAAGATATGGACTCGGAGATAGGAAGAGCTAGAGGAGGGCCAGAGCAGGACCCTTGGCCCAGTCCTAACTTCCTTTGTCTAAGAGCAGTTTGAGATGAGAAAATGGGTTAAGAAACTTACCCACATGTCTCCAGCACAAAGTAGCCGAGCCAGAATTGCACAGCATCTTGAGCACACCAGGGCGGTACCTCAGCCAGGCCAGTCAGCTGAAACACAAGTGCTCCTGAACTCATTGCCTGCAGTGAGGAGCAGGAGACTTTCTAGGAGGGAAAGAGTCAGAGAGATGTTTCTAGGAGGAATATGTTGAAAATCTTGAAGGGGTGAATCAGGGACAGGGCTGGAAGTGGAGAATATTGTCTATAGTCCTTGTCCTGCACACAGAGACAGGAAGGGTAACAATCAATTTAGGAGAGTTAGAGGTGCGTTTATGGGGTACGGAGGAAGAATAAAGCTGCTGACATTAGAGTTAAGCACCCAAGAACCAAAAGGGGGCATATGACATTTTGGTGACAGGGCTAAGGGATGAGTCCAGAGTAGAAATGCCTCAAAGTTTTCTCCCCTGAAAAACGAGGGAGGTGGCAAGTCATTTATAGAAATAGGGTCTCTGGAAGGAGGCTCAGAATACTGGGCTTTTAAAATTTGGATTATATGTTAATGATGAGAATACTGACAGAAAGGGAATGAAAGTAAGTCTGATGGAAGGTAGCTATGCTTAAAGAATGGACAGGAGAGATAATTAGTCAAAAACAAAAAAAACGAACAGAAGTTTCTCAGTGATAAAGAGCCTGATTTGCGTAATGTCACCAGTGCTATGGTATGGTTAAGTTTGAGAAGGAACTTTCAGTTCCTGTGAGGCCATTAAATACAATGCTCAAGGAAAGGAGACCTCTACATTTAGCAATAAATAAGAAGTTAGGACCACAGAGATGGAAAATTGTTTGAAAGCATTTCCTGGTATATGAGGAAGTATAGGGAGTGAATAGAACTAGTTTTCTTTTTTAAAAAATTAAGTTGGCTTCAAAGGAAGAAGAGAGATTATACATTTGTTTGACAAAAAGGGTCTGGGAAGAAAATGGACGTTTGATGATGAGTATGATCATAATGTGAAGATATTTATAATATTCTTGGATGAAATTTTGCAGTGATATATGAGAAGAGAGAGATAAATATTTTGATAGAACTTACCCATCCATTTCTAAAGACAGACCCCACCATTGTCCATCTCAAGATTAGATATGTTCTATAAACATCCCTGTCTATGACAATCATCACAAGAAGCCCAGGGCTTCCAGGTCACCCCTTATCTAGTGAGTCTCACCTCCCAGTCTTCAGTGCTCTTTTACAGTGAGGCCTGCTCTTCTCCTCCCTAGCTTGGACCTCTCATCGTCTCTCTTTCCTCCATTATTTTTCTTTGTAGCATTTAAAACTATCTGGCATGTACTCACTTATTTTATGATGACTTTCCTTTCCATAATAAAATGTCAGCTCCAGTACTTAGTTAGAATAGTGTTCAATACATATTTGTTGAACAATGCATAGAGAAGGAGTTGGGAATAATTGATGGAGCAGGATTCCAAAGCAGGTATTGGCAAATGTTTTTAACAACCTGCCAAATGGTAAGTCTTTTAAATCTTGCTGGCCACAGTCTCTGTTCCATATTATTCTTTGTTTTATAAATAATCCTTTAAAAAATGTATAAGTCATTCTTAACTCACAGACCATACATAAACAAGCTGCTCAGTGACCTTAGCTTACCAACAGTTGTTAAAGTCAAGGAAACAGGATTCAAAGCACAGGTAAAGATAATAGCTCTGAAAATGAAAAGGGATGTGTCTTGCTCTGAGAATAAAAGTGAGAAAAAATGAAATATAAAGAGCAGACCAAAAGAATTCATGTCAGTGACAGCCTTCTCATACAGAAAAAGTAAGGTCTGCTTGCAAAGTGGGAAAGTTCTAAAAGAATATGTTGGCAAATCAAATAGAGATCAATAAGACAATTGATAAGCACCACAGGATTCAGCCAAAGTTAGACAATATAAATCTGTGCAGTGTGCTATAAAACTGAGGGGAGATGGGAAAAGTTAGGTCCCAAGAATTTTTGGTTGTGATGTAAACAAACTTCTGAAGCTGGCCTGGCATACTAGTTAAGAAAAAAAAAATTAGATTTCTCTTATGTTATTTTTTAATTTAAATATTTCTAGAAACAAAGAAAAGTGAACTACTGTATGAGTGTTAATACCAACAATTAACATTTATTACAGGCCTAAGCTATTTATTAATGACTAAGCAATGGTCATTATCTCATTAATCATCCTAAGTAGGTTCTAGTTATCTCTGATTTGCAAATAAGGGAGCTGAAGCTTAGAAAAACTTACCCAAAGGCACACAGAGCTCTTAAGTGACAGTCAGATGAAGCCAACCAAGTTTGGCTGATGTCCAGTCATGCTCTTCATTAATTGCAGTATGGTGCTGATTAGTGAACTGATATCAACATGGCAGGAGGTTTCTGGTAACAATTATAGTTCTCACCCTGTCTTAGTCAGCATTTTTATATTGTCTTAGATGAGGACATAGATAGTGCATGTATCAAATTTTCCAGTAATGTGAAATCAGGAAGAATAGGAACACATTAGATAACAGTCATGAGAATCCAGAATTATCTCCAATTAGAATGGTTCGCCAAAGAAAAATTTAGCAGAGATAAGAATGTAATCCTTTACTTAGGTCCAGAAACCACTTCCCAAATGTACTGTCTTAGCTGTGGGGTATGTAGGAAGAAAAATGCCAAGAGGTTTTAGGCATTCCCGTTAAGGTCTATGATTAACTATGGCTTGCCCAGAGAAAATTAGATAGGAAGCTATTTAAGACCACTTCATCTGAGGAGTAATTAAAGAAACTCATGAAGTCTTAGAGCTAAAAGCTTCTACGGTGATGGGGCTAGAGAGAGAGCAAATGTTTCTGAAAGTTTCATCTACTTTAGAAGATAAATTAGACTTGGTCTGTGTGACCTTTGTGGTCAGAACTAGGAATAAGAAATAGGCATTACCGGAAGCCAGAGTTTGACTTGGCATGAGAAATAATTCTCCCCAGATTAACCGGTGCAAAATTATACTCATGGCATTGGGAGTTAATGCATCCCCTATTGCTGGACATGTTTTCAACTGAGACTGAACTATCATTTCTTAGAACTTACTCTAGATGACCTGCCAACACCAAGTCTTTGTCTCTAAATGTGTCAAATGAATAAAACAATTCTATACCATTTTTCAAAAAAGTAAACTCATCTTTCTTCTGTACTGTTTGCAACTGATTTACTGCAGTGTTAGATGTATAGTGATGTATGTTACAGAAATACTGTTTTGAACCTAGTCTGTACAGATTCTGATTTTTCACTTGTAATATGACAAGATGTTTAGCACACTGAGTTACTCTTTGAGTATTTCTCTGAAAAGGATGTGTACTTTACTTGTAATTCTTGCCAAAGATTATACTGAATTTGTACTATTTTCCTGCCAATATTTCTTCTAAACCATCTCCCATATATAATTTGTAGTAAATTCCCTAAATATTCATGGTGTTTTCTGTAATGTTTTTCAAGAAGAGCCTTGAAAACCTTATTTCTAGTCTAAACCCCTAATTCTATTTGTGGTTTTAATTCTTTAAAGTTTATCTAATAAACAGAGTTATACTACTTATTGAAAAGAAATACTTTTTTAAACTTTTTAGGTGTCATCCCTTTTCATGGATTTTCCATGTATGGTAAGTTGGGCTTTAAAATATTCATTGTTGGAAATTTATGTATAAATAGCTATAAAATATGCATCATTTTTAAAATGAAAAAATAAAGATAACACTGTATATTATATCATCACACACTTAACAAATTATTATGAGCATTTCTAAACATTGAATTTAGTATTTGTTTATCTGTCCAATTTTTAAAAATCAAAAATAATAGGTCATTGTAATTGTTTAGTTGATGATTGTTGCATAGATTAGAAATAGAATACTCTTAAGTTTTTTTTTTCTGAGGTTTACCATCTGATTCTAACCCAGTGAAACAGAGACACACATTGTTAATTCTAATAGGTATAAAATCAGTTTGCTTAAATTCCTGAACTAATTCTTATATGAGTCTTAAAAAAAAAAAGAAGAAGAAGAAGAAGAATAGGTCAGAAAGAATCTGAAGGGAGGAACAATACTGAATTTGAGCTCATGATTTCTCCAGATTACTGGTGTGCACAGCAACAATGACATTGGAGCATTTGGTCATCCTCTGGAAAAGGCATGTGCAGGAGTGAGAACATTGAGTGCCTCATGGGCCCCACTTGCACTGAGTGAGAAATGCAAGAAGCTTAACAAAGAGTAGGAAAAGAAGGGATGCTCTACACTAAAATCATTTGATTTTAATATGTTCATGTATCACACATAAACTTGTTATTGTCCCCTTTATCTCTATCCCTTCCCTTTAGAATAAACAGAAGTACTTAAATGTTTTACCTTTGTAAAAAGAATCAGCAATAAATTAGCACTTTTCTTTTTATAAAAGCACCTTCATGTTTCCATCAGACAGTCAAGGTGAATGACATAAAACTTTTTAACAACTTACAATGAAAAGAATACTGAACAAAATTTTATAACATAGTATCCTTCCCACATATTTTTTATAAATATGAAAAATCTAAAATAGAAAAGCTACAAAGCTTGAGAGTACAACTTTTTTTACCTCTAATAATAACAAATATTCGCCTTTTATCCTTTTTTAATAATTCTAACTGCAGGGATTTTCCAAGTAAATAGTTTTTAGGCGTACTTGAGTGATTTGACAATACTTGATGCTGCATAAGTTTAAATTTTCTAGCAATTGTCAGTGCTCAAAATATATCATGGAGGGCTAAGGATATAGCTCAGTGGTAGAACACTTGCTAGTGTGCACAGGCCCTGTGTTCAAGACCCAGAACCACAAAATTAAAACAAACAAACAAAAAACAAAAACTAAGCCAGGCTTGGTGGCCCAGGTCTGTAATACCAGCTATGCAAGATGCTAAGGGAAGAGGATCCCAAGTTCGATGCCAATCTGGGCAACTTCAAGAGACCCTGTATTAAAATAAAATTTTAAAAGGAATGGGAATGAGCCTCCAGTACCACAAAAAGAATGTGTTTTTTTGTTTTGTTTTGTTTTAATCCTTGGAGTTAGGATCTGACTTTTCACTTTCATGGTCATTTAAATAGGCTAAGGAGAAAACATGAGCTAAGGAAATAGATGGTGCAAAATGTTTGTGTAGGTTTATGTGCACCATTTTAGAAAATTGTTTTAAGCAACTACAGATACTAAATAGCATCTAGTCATTTAAAATGAGTATCTAGAATAATCATAGATCATCCCTAAGAAACTCAAGTTAATACTTCACCACTTTGCTTTTAGTTTCTGTTTTTTGTTTTACTTTTTAGTTATGCTACTTAAATTTTCAAAAATTTATTCAAAACTTTTCTCTAATTTAAATTGCCTTCTGGCAGCAGAACACAACAGACACTAGTATGGCAATATGTAAATCAATGGATGTGTAACTGATGTAATTCTGCAATCTGTATATGCGGTAAAAATGGGAGCTCATAACCCACTTGAATCAAAGTGTGAAATATGATATATCAAGAACTATGTAATGTTTTGAACAGCCAACAATAAAAAATAAAAATAAAAAAATAAATTGCCTTCTGTTCTCCCATTTATATAGACTAGTATATATATAGACTAGTGTATATATATATACATATATATATATATATATATATATATTATTATTTCATAAATAAATTCCTACAATACAGTATTTAATTTGTTGAATAAACTAATAAGCTAAATTTATTTTTATGTAAGAGCCAAATAAGGAAAAATGCTTGAGATTAAAAAAATTAAATCATGTAGAAGATTTTTTACATATTATATATAATAGATTAAAGTTTTTCTATTTCATAGCTATATAAGGAAATTCAGCATAAACAATTGTGTTATCATGATTAATAATTAATTTTATTTTTTGTATCATAAATGTATTTTAGAAATGTGATTTTTTTAAAGTTTTTTCTTCATTCCTTCATTGGAAATGGTCACTAAAAATTTCTAAACTCATAAAATCTTCAGATTCAGCTTATAGATTTTTATGTATCAATTTATGTATAAATAGCTATAAAATATGCATCATTTTTAAAATGAAAATAAATTCTAAACTTTCACTTTGAATTTATATTAATGCCATGTATTTGTGCCACATTGCTTTCTCTTAGATTGTTATTGCAATTAGAACATGAATTATTCTTTTAAAATGTGTGGAATACCCTTATTTGGGCAACTTCAATAAGTGTCCACTTATTTTGATAAGTTTTTAAAGTTAGTTTTTTAATGGTAAGACATGCCTGTCTTCTTAAACTTTATATGTCTCTCTACAAAATATATATTACATGTTTTTCTATGTGTATGTATATAGTCATTTTTATATTTATTTAACTATCTCAAAATGTTTCTCTCTCGCCCTTCAGAAAATGTAAAATTTTTTTTGGCAATGATAGTTTTCAGTGACTTATTAATCATTAATACTGTATGTATTGCTCTTTATCTCAGATAATTGAATTTTTATACTTACAGACATTTAAAACAGTCTACCATTTTTCCTTTCATTTTGTCAAAAAGAAGAGATCTAAATCAGCTCCCTGATATCCTGGCTTACTTAATGCCCACTGCCTTCTGGGGTGTACCTGCACATTATAAAGTCTCAGAACTTCTAATTTGTTGAATTTATATCATTTAAATAACCCTAAAAGAAAGACATTTTTATCAAAATTAATATATAAGTAATGTAGTTTTGTCTCTCTACATAATAAATGTGTTTGTGCTACATAAAATTCATGAAGCTTGAAAAGAAGGCAAGTGTGACAATGTTTGTCAGCATAGAATAGTCCTGTGGTCAGGTCAGTCTCCCAGAGTAGCACTTTCCTGCTGTGGGATATCTGGTTGACTTGATCCACCTGTGTGTAATTGCCAAGAATTAGGTGCAGAAGAAAATGTACTTCAGTGTTCACTAGAGAAATAAGTTCTCTGGCAGAGCATTGTTGTAAGTCAATGAAAAGTGTCTTGCTCTACATAGAGATATGCTAATATAGATCAATAGTGTCAAAATATTACTCATAATCTTTATTTTCAAATTGTGTTAATTGAAGTCCTTGATTCTAAAAGATAGTCATATTTTAACTTGCCTGACTCAAAATTAAAAGCTTTGAAAAGTTGCTTAAGTCTTTTGTGGGACAAAGTAAAAATGAGTTGTCTAATTGTCACTTTCTTGTTACTTTAAAAAAAAAAAAAAAGGAGTTGCCAATGTGCTGTTGTAAATTCTAGGACAGTGGAGGCAATGGACGAAGACCCTGTCTCAAAATAGAAGGTCCTGGGGATGTAACTCAGTGGTGGAGCACACCTGGGTTCAATCCCCAATACTGTAAAAGAAAAAAAAAAAAGGACTGGACTTTATGCAGTTCTTGAATATTACTTTTAATTTTTAGTATCCTTATATAATTCTGTTCTGTCATTCTCAGCCTACTGTTAAAATGGGATAATAGTTTATAATTTAATGACTCCACTTTCACCTGTGCCAAAATGAAAAATCTAGATAATATTTTAAACTTGTTTATAAATGAATATGATTATTATAAAATTTTCATATTGTTTCATATTTCATGGGCTTATTTTAAAATTTTTAGTAGTTTGGAAGTATTATCAATTAATTTTTTTTCTTTCAGTTGCACCACTTTGTTTTCTATATCATGAACCTTACAAATTGTATCAGATATTCCGTGAGATGTATGTACGTTTTTTCTTCAGACTCCATTCCATCTCTTCTCATCCTTCTGTAAGTTCATAAAAAGTTTGATTCTTATCATACTCCAATCTGTTCTTTCCTTTAAGAAAAGCCTCCTACTCAAATTATAAAGCCAAATTATAAAGTTTGTGATTTCAAAGAACATATTTCTGTAGAATAAACAAAAGAGAAGAAAATCATATTTAAATATTTTTGGTAATAGGAAAAAGTTTCTTCTCAACTACATTTAATTTAATCTTTATATATTCAAAGAATAAACATAGAATATCTGCGTTACTATCCTTGACAAGGATGCCCACCTTCTTTGCTGATTTGCTCATCTGTGAAATGAGGTTAGTACTATATCATCCGTGGTGCTGTAGAGCAGTCTACAAAGCACGGAGGGTAGTTAAGACTTGGCTCATTGCAGGTATTCAGTAAGTAAATGGCTGCTGCTTTCATTGTTATAATTATAGTTATCATCATCTCTTCTTTTTTAATGAAAATCAAACATTTATTTGTGTCTTGTTTTTCAGTTTCTTATTAGACTACTTATCAATTACTGTGGTAGATAGATGTTTTCTTTGTATTTATTCATTGTAAAGCACCTTTGACCTCACTATGAGGGTCAAGGAAAAGCTTACCAGGAGTTGCATATTTTTATCTGTTTTATTTTCTGCTCCTTTCTGCTATCTTTCCCCCCTTCCTATAAACCTGAGTAAAGGCAGTGTTTATTTCATTCTGTTATGCTTTTCCCCAGCTTTGAATCCAGTTTGCCCTACCTGTGATTAACTTGACTGCCTCTCTAGAAGTATTCAATTGGAATATGTGTCAAGGCTACCATGTTTCTCCACAGAGACGATTGTGTTACTGCTGCTAATCAAATAACTGCTCTTTGTCCCCTTGCTCCCATTTTAAGACTATATCCCTATTGCACATTTCTTATATACAGTTTGTTCTCCTGCATTGCTAGTGAAACTTGTCAAGTAACAGAGTCACAGATAAACAAAGCACCACCAATTATCTTGGGCTTCTTCTTGGAGAATTGATTTAGTTATTACCTTACATTAATGGTTAATATAGAATAATCAGAAATGTTAATAATTAATATCAATAAGTCTGTTCTCTAATAGTTTTTTGTTAGAATCAGATTTTTTAACCTCATATTCTATGTCATGTAATGCTTCAGAGTTAAGAAAGAAAGAGAAAGAAAGAAAGAAAGAAAGAGAAAGAAAAAGAAAAAACTGACCCTCCAATTCATTCCATGGTGTTCTCCCTATGCAGAGCATGAAGCCTGACCCTGAGCAGCTCTGTATATCCCTTCTCTCTGTATGCTGGCCCTGAGGTGTCCCTTTTCAGCTAATTGATTAGGTCAGCCCTGCCCTACCCTTTGTTTATTCAGTGGAATAAAGACAGGCCGTCTTCTTTTCTGGCTTGCAGCCACACTGAACTATTTGGAGCCATGTCAACTTATTTCTTCAGAAATTCAAAAAGAGGATTAAAACTTCTTTACCAAGATCAACCCCAAGGAATGCTAAGCTGCACAAAAAGGTTTTATTCAGAGTTGTCAAATAATAAACACACTTGAAAAACCATCTGCTTAGTTACTTCTTGTACTTTACAAATAATGCTCTTTACAAAAAGTAGATTTTAGTTAAAAAAAACTTTATACTAAGTAATCAAACATTCTTGTTTGATAACTTCCTGATGCAAATTTCAAGCAGTCAGCACTCAGTCTTTTCAAAGAAGGAGTGAAAAGAACAGCAAATATTTTCCTGAGAGGGTGAGGCTGGAAAGAGAGAGACATGTGGAGAGAGTGAAGGATGTGGTCATAGCACCAGGAAAATACTTGGAAACTGGAATGAATTCAGAAAAAAAAAGAAATAATAATAATTTTGTTGGATGTTCATAATAATATGTAGCTTACAAAGTAGCAGGTTGTCTGTAAAGTGATGTTACCTTGGGCTCTCCGAGTATTACATAGGAGGTTAGTAGGGAGGCTGTTGTTAAAAGGAGAGTTCTTAGCATATCTATGAGTACACAAAGAGAGATAAAATATATCTTTAAATACACTGTTAGAGATCCATTAGTGCATTCCCTGTTTTTGACCTTTCAACAATATAAAGACTATTTCTGTTCATAGTGTCCTGTTTTCCATTTTGAGTAATGAGTTGGCATAGTTAATTTTTAAATACTAACCCGTTTCTCTTATGATTCATAATTATATCCAGGGTATTGTGTCACTCTGTTTGCTGTTTGAGACCCTTCTTCAAACATATCTCCCTCAACTCTTTTATCATCTACGTGAAATTGGGGCTCAACCGTGAGTATTATTCTCTCTTAACAAGAATAGATTCATAGGTGCCTTGCAACAGATGAATGGATAAAGAAAATGTGGCACATATATACAATGGAATATTACACATCCATATAAAAGACTTTATGGCATTTGTGAGTAAATGGATGGAATTGGAGACTATCATACTAAGTAAAATAAGCCAGTCCCAAAAAATCAAATACCAAATGTTCTCTCTGATATGTGGATACTAACACAAAATAAGCAGTCGGGGACAGGTACAAATTCATTGGATTAGACAAAGGGGAGTGAAGGGAAGAGGGGAGGGGAATAAGAAAGAGTAGAATGAATCAGATATAACTTTCCTATGTTCATAAAGGAATACACAACCAGTGAAACTCCATATCATGTACAACCACAAGAATGAGATCCTAATTAGAATAAGTTATACTCCATGTATGTATAATATATTAAAATACATTCTACTGTCAAGTGTATCTAAAAAGAAAAAAAATTAAATAAATAATAAAAATAAAAGTAACACAAGTATTAGAAAACAAAGAACCAAGTAAATTCTAATTCAGGGAATTAATGATATGCTTCTTTGACAACAACCTTATCTTCTTAAAAATCTCCTTATTTTGCCCCAGTTTTGTTTTTTGTTTTTGTTTTCTTGTGGGGCAGGGGGAACCAGAGATTAAACGCAGGGGGCTTAACCACTGAGCTACTTCTGCAGCCCTTTTTATTTTTTATTTTGAGACAGGATCTCACTGAGTTGCTCAGGGCCTCGATAAGTTGCTGAGGCTGGCTTTGAACTTGAAATCCTCCTGCCTCAGCCTCCCGAGCTACTGGGATTACAGGTGTGCACCACTACACCCTGCTTGCCTCAGTGTTTATTGGTAGTTTTCATGTATAATAGTATGTATGTTAATTAAATAGAAATATGGTTCTTAAGTTTCAGGAGCATAGGATTTCACTGTGGAGTTAATAAAAGCTACAAAGCAACCCTCACACACACACACAAACAAGAATAGTTTCACATCAGAAAGCTATTTTTTCATCATGGTAAAGCACTTGCAAATATATAGTAATTCTTCAGTAAAATCAAGCTAACAATTTTTATTATTATAAAATAATAATTATCAAGTAGTAATTGTAACTGCAATGTGCAAAAAATTCTTGAAAGAATTACTAAAATCCTAATAAAATCTTATTCATTAGGCTCTTTATCTCTGGTACAAGAATCACCAAAATGAACTAATTTCTATTCATAAGGAAAAATATTAGCCAAAACTGAAGCAAACATTTGTAGAAACAAATACAACCTGAGAAATGTGATAATGCTAAAATTAAGCCAGGATAGAATAAATTGATCAGAGAACATCCTATGAAAGTTCTACAGATTAAAGTCTTTTGTTAAAGGAAACCAAATTGTTTAACTACCTAATGGTTGTCCTATGATTTCTCCTTCTAGAAGTTTGAATTTTCTCCTCTGATCTCAGTATTAGTTATAGGTGAATAGCTCTGGACTTCAATATTATAGATTCTGTCTCTTTTTTTAAATATTTTTTTCAGTTGTAGATGCACACAATATCTTCATTTTTGATTTATTTATTCTTATGTGGTACTGAGGATTGAACCCAGTGCCTCACACATGCAAGGCAAGCGCTCGACTACTGAGCTACACCCCCAGTCCCTGGTTTTGTCTCTTTTTAAATACCATGTCTGAAGTTTTAAAATGATTTATCAGTGTTTTGTTCCTGTCTTCTCCTCTGAGCTACCATGTTTCTCTGTTAAAAAGACACCATTTGAAAAGAGCTTTACTCTGAGGCCACTGAAAGAGTTAAGGGGAAATAAAATAGTGTAGTATTTGTCTTCCCTACACTATGTTTTTTTCACTAAATTGAGCACATTTAGTTTATTGCTAAAAAACTAAAATTCTGGTATTTTTTCCTAGTCTAATTTATACACTTTAATCATTAAAAGGAACAAATTTCAATGACTTATGACAAACATTGACATTCTTATGGAGAAGGAAATATTAAAATTCCTATAGTCATAGTATAAATCAGTTTTTCAAAGGTTTTCATAATGAACTGATCCAATTGGAAGGTTTTTCATTTTGAGTTTAATTTCTTTAATAGCAATAGAACTAGTCAGGTTATTCATGTCTTCTTGAGTGAGCTTCTATAGTTTATGCATTTTATCTAAGTTATTATACTTATGCACATAATTAATCATAATATTCCCTAATTATTCTTACTTATGTTTTCATATCTGTAGAATCATTGCTGACTTCGCCTTTCTGATTGTTGAGATTAGTATTTGTTTCATCTCTCTCTTTTTCTTGATGATTCTGGCTAAAGATTTATTTAGTTTATTCATCTTTGGAAGAACCAGTTTAGGGCTATATTGATTTTTCTCTTGTTTCTCTTTTTCAATTTTGTTGATTTCTGCTATTTTATTTATTCCTTTATTCCTTATACTTGCTGTAGGCTTAATTTGCTCTTATCTTCCTACTTGTTTAAGTTGGTGTTTAGATCATTGGGACCTTTCAGCATTAATATTATAAATTTCTTATATAAGCATTAATATTATAAATTTCTTTCAAAGTATCACTTTACCCCACCTAATAAATTTTGATATGTTGTCTTTTCATTTTCATTCAATTCACAAATGCTTCTTAATTTCTCTTGTGACTTCCTCTTTAACCGTTGATTATATGGAAGAATATTGTTTAATTTCTAAATATTTGAAAAGAATAATATCTTTCTGTTACTGATTTATATTTTAGTTCTGTTACAGTTAGACAACATACTTCATATGATTTCAATTCTTCTAACTTTGTTGAAGTTTAGCATATACATCTTGGCAAATTTTCCATGTGTACTTGAAAAGAATTTTTCGTCCCACAAGTGTTGATGTTTTCTAAATGTCAATAAAACCAGGTTTGTTGATAATGTAGCACAAGTTTTCTGTGTACTTCTATACCCTCCTTAATAATTTTCTATCTACTTTTCCTATTGATTTTAATTGTGGATGTTGTCATCTTCTTTCACTGTTATATATGTTTTTACTTTACATAATTCAAAAGTCTGTCTTTAGAAGAACTGTGGTACTATTACTATCTTGTAGTGTCATTCTTTATTCCTAGTAATAAATTTACTTTACCTGATTAATATAGCCATTCTAACTTTCTTTTGATTAGAATTCTCATGATATATTTTTTCTTTCTTTAACTTTTAACCTATCAATTATCAAGGCCTTTATTTCTTAAGTGGATAGTATAATGTTATTGGTATGGAATGTACTATTTTGAGTTTTCTGTTTGTTCCATGTATCCTTTTTTTTTCTGCCTACTTTTGAAATTTGAGTAGTTTTTATTCAATTTTATTCTGCTATTGAATTATTATTTGTACTGTTTTTTAAAATTTGTTTTCAATAGGTACCATATGATTAAAGTATATATCTTTAAGTAATCATATAATACTTCAAATAACTCCAGGCCTGGATGGCTTCTTTAGCAAATTCTACTAAACATTACAGTAAGAAATAATTTTAATCCTTCTCTGCTTGCTATCAAGATCTTTTGTTCTCAGCAGTTTAATCATGATGTAGCCAGGCATGGACTTTTAAAATTTTTCCTGTTTAGGGTTTGTTGAGCTTCTTAAATCTATACATTTATGTCTTTTGACAAATTTGGGGAGTTTTCAACCATTAATCCTTCAATTTTTTTTCCTGTACCATACAAATTCTCCTTTTCTTCTGTGATTACAGTGACATAAATGTTAACTTTCGATGATGTCCCAAAGGTCCTCAAAGCTCTATTCATTATTTTTCAATACTTTTTCCTTTATGATTCAGATTAGACATTTCTCTGTTGACCTATACCCAAATTCATTCTTTCCTCAGACTTTCCCATTTTGCTATCAGATCTATCTAGTAATTTGGTTTTTTGTTTCTCTGGGGTTTTAGGGTTTGTTTGGTTGGTTGGTTGGGTTTAGGTTATTGTATTTTTTAGTCCTACAATTTTCATTTGGTTCTTCTTTATTAAAACTCATAGAACTATATATTTATAAGGGCACATTCTACTTAACATGAATTATACCCCAGTAAGCTTCATTTAAAAAAAAAAAAAAAAACAGATGTTCTGTTTTCTGTGTATCTATATGTTATATATGTGTGTGTGTGTGTAATACATTCAGAATTTTAGTGAAATGAAACTAGTTGAAGATAATAATTTATTTAGACTTAAAAGTCAAATGCAATTTTCAAGTATTAAGATATCTAGTGGCCAGGGCTGGGGATATGGCTCAAGTGGTAACGCACTCGCCTGGCATGCATGGGGCGCTGGGTTCGATCCTCAGCACCACATAAAATAAAGATGTTGTGTCCACCAAAAACTGAAAAATAAATATTAAAAAATTCTCTCTCTCTCTCTCTCTCTCTCTCTAAAAAAAAAAAAAAAAAAGGTATCTAGTGGCCAAAAGCTTCTTTGTGTCTATAAGGAGATACTTTAAAACCAACAAAAAAGCTTAATTTGTCAATAATATTGCCTAAATGCACTTCATCATGTTAGGCCAATAGTTATCTGGTTTTGAGAAGTTTCTGAAACTTGGGGGTCTTTTTTAGTCTTAAGAGAATTAGTACTGTGACAGCAGCCAAGAACCTTGGGGTCTCTTTTGCCTTTTTTTTTTTCTTTTTGGTACCAGGGATTGAACCCAGAGGCACTTAACCACTGAGCCATATCCCCAGCCCTTTTTATTTTTTATTTTGAGACAGGGTTTTGCTAAGTTGTTTAGGGCCTCACAAAGTTGCTGAGACTAGTTTTGAATTTGCAATCATCCTGCTTCAGCCTTCTGAGCCCCTGGGTTTACAGGTGTGTGCCACCATACCTAGCTCTCTTTTGCTTTCTTAAGAAAGTAGTACAGATATTTAGCAATATAATGTTAGAGTAATTCCAACAAATAGTTTGACTAGCATTTATCAGTGTCTATCAATTGGATGCTCTTAGGTAATATAGAAATATGAGGGATTGTTATCTCCCAAGGTACTAGAATCAAGGAGCTCATTTCCTGATTTCAGAGAGAAACTAATTATAATATAAGTAACTTATAAATAGTGGGATTTCATACTTCTTAGAAATTTTTTGTAGCAAAAATGGAATTTAATTGAATTTTCTGGTTGATCTTTCAGAGTTCTGATAACCTCCTCCCTAAAATGAAGGGTTTGAAATCAGAAATATTTTTCCAAGGTCTGTTAATAGCTGTAAAGCCATTTGTGCTTTAAAACTCTTGTCAATTATTTTATTTTATGCATCCTATAAAGCCATTTGACTGAAATGTAGGAATATAATTTATTAAATCGAAAAAAATATAAAATCATGGAGATTTCTCAAAAGACTAATAATGGAACCATCACATGACCCAGCTATCCCACTCCTTGGTATTTATCCAAAAGAATTAAAGTTAGCATAATATAGGGATACATACATGACCATATTTATAGCAGCATAATTTATAATGCCCAAGTTATGGAACTAGCCCAGGTGTCTATCAACAGATGAATGGATTAAGAACACACACAATAGAGTTTTATTCAGGCATAAAGAAAAATGAAATAAGTTATTTGTAGTAAAATGAATGAATGAAATTTAAGAGCATTATGTTAAGCAAAATAAGTCAGAAGGTCAAGAGTCTTATGTTTGCTCTCATATGTGGAGGGAAAAAAGGAAAAGCGGAGTAGGGGGGTCTCATGAAATTTGAAGGGAGATCAATAGACTAGAGAAAGGGAGTGACGGGGAGAGAGGAAAGGAGAGAAAGGGGTGGAACTACAGAATGAAATTGACCAAATTATGTCATGTGCATGTGTAAATATGTCATAGTGAATCCCACTATTTTGTATAATTATAATGTACCAATTTAAAATATAATTATTAGAAAACAAGAATTTTCATGAGAAACAAAAAACATTAAGTAAATATTTTTACAGAAACAAGAGTGAAAAGTAAGATTGTTTAATTCAAGTACATAAATAAACATTAGCAAAAATATATATGAAACCTTTGAATGAGCAAATATTTTGAATAAAAATTCAGGTTATCTTGGCTTGCCTGAAATTAAGACTATTAGAAGATCAGCTCATTGATTATACTCGGGAAAACATTACGTAGAAGTAGTTTTTATAAAGACTAGATATAACATAAAGGAGGTCCCAGCGTACAACATCTTTCTCTTAATAGCCTAAGAATACTAATTGGAAGTCTTGGAGTTTCTCACTGCTGCACTTTTGCAGCTTTTAGGGAAAGGTTGGAGTTTTAAATATCCAGGTGATCTCTAAGACTCTCAGAGGATCGCCTTAATATTATTTGGATGGGATGTTCTGATATTGCCTTTTTGTGAGGAAAAAAAAATCCAGTGATAGAATTAATTTTCATTTTTCCTTCCTACAGACTTCGCATATCATTTAAATGGATGGTTCGAGCTTTCTCTGGATACTTAGCTACAGACCAGCTTTTGCTTTTGTGGGATAGAATCCTAGGATATAACTCTCTGGAAATTCTTGCTGGTAAGAGTAAATACTTTTTTGTGAAATACATGTTGTTTCTATGGTAAGGTCCCCTTCCTTTCTAACAATTGGAGATTGAGTCTACTATTGTATAATTTTTAATGTATAAACATTTAATATATTTATCTGGTTTAGAAGATAAGTACAGAGATTCTGAAGTCGACATTTCAGTCTTTTAATTGCCCAATACCAGTCTACTCCTATTTTGTCTTTCTTAGCCCTTTTCTCTCTCTCTTCCTCACCTGTCTCTTAGTCTAGCCAGGACTTACTAAATCCCAGCACCTGTGAGTTCTGGGCAGCTTCTTAAGCATTCTGTTCTCTGTGCCCTACTCAACTGTACCTAAAATCCAAATCAAGACTGAGTTTCCCTGCAGAGCTGAAATCTAGTTCTTCTGGGTCTCAAGTTATACTGAATTCAAAACATTTTGTGTTTTGCTAATAGTCTGTGACTTATGTTCTAGAGTCTGAATTTGCCCTTTTAGGTATTCTCTCTTGACAAAAATAAATTTTTCTTGGTTTTTTTTTTTCAGGAAGCCAGATTCATCTCTAATTAATAATTAAGCAGTTCATGCAAAAGATATACATTAAAGCAAATTTATAACACAACATACGCACTCATTATATTATTTTGCTTCTCTTAAGTGCAGTAGACTCAGTTATTTTTATCATTGGGATTATCAGGAAACAAAAATAATAATTGGGAAATCTTCCTAACAATAGGTTGATAGCAGAAAAGTTGGCCTACTATTTTCTTCCTTACCTGAAATATTTAATATTTTAAAATCACTGTATGCACTACGTTGGAAATATTGCTTAGTTGAAGGAAAATATGGCTCAAATATTCTCTAGGTACCATATTAACATTTTTTGAATGCTAAGAGGTTTATAATAACTGGGTGGCATTTTAAAAATGAAAATTAGAATAATAATAAAGTACCATGAAGATAAATAGCACCCCTGTTGTAATCAGAGATTCTCACTGACTGGGATGTTTTTAACTCCTAGAATCCTTCTCTCAGCTTTTTTTAAAGCCCATACAAATATGAGTGAGAAAAAAATGGTCTTCCCTCTTCTTTTTTGACCAAATGACAGTGATATGTGTAATCTAGAGATAGAAGGAATGCTAAAGGACATCAGGGTAACTTTTTCAAACATTTCTGACAAGTAGTTCTTATCCTCTGTTTGAACCCTTCAGTATTGGGTAATGTGTGCCTTAGCAGGAGGTCCATTTCATTTCTGGATAATATGACTTGTTTAAATGTACTCCTTATAAACCAAGGTTATTTTTATGTTTTTTCTACTATTGTATCCTCACCTCTCCCCAAAGTCTTCCATTTCTAAACTATGCAGCCTCCTTTTCTGCTACTATTTTCTCAAGTGACAGGACTGTAGACAGTTCACCAAATAGCCTTACTCTGGGTATGCCAAATACTTTTTTGAGTATCATATATAGCATTTGATATCATTTCAAAAAAAATTAAAACTTTAAAAGAAGGGAGCTCAGTATAAGAAAGTACTTTCTAATAACTAGAACTTTCTAAAAGTAGAAAGAGCTCTTAAACTGTCACCTGACAAATCAAGAGGTTTTGTAACTTGAAAAAAATATTGAATTAGAAAGCCTTCGAGGCCTCTTTCAATTTAAAATCTCTCATCCTATGCCTTATCACCTTCTAGCAGCCTGAAGGAAAAAAAAAAATAGATGTCTGTGGAATACTGTATTTTCTCTAAACCAGGCACTATGCTATGAGCTAAATACATTAATGAAAAACATACTGATGAATAGGTGGAAAAGTAACCTGCACTATTTCATTCATCTACTTTACCTGAGTATCTTTTTAAAAATCAACAGGAAAGAATTCTAGAACATCTAGAAATGAAACTGGATAAATCTGAATTCCCCTCTCATGGAATTCAGGTAAAAAGCCACAGGAGTAGATAATTTCATATGGAAGTATACAAATTCGGGTTTTTATAATATTTATTTTTTTTTAGTTGTAGTTGGACACAATACCCTTGTTTTATTTATTTATTTATTTATTTATTTATTTATTTATTTTATGTGGTGCTGAGGATCAAACCCTGGGTCTCACCACACGCTAGGCAAGCGCTCTACCACTGAGCCACAATCCCAGCCCCAAATTCATTTTATTGCATACATTTTTAGTATGAGTATTTTGGGACCACCTTTTTGGATCAAGTGAGTTATTGGTATTTAAGAATATCTTAATAAATATCTCTGGCTTAAATTGCAAATTAGAGCCTTTTAAAGAACAATTTAAAGCAATGGTGTCCATGTTCATAATAGTATAATTAATGAGAATAGTTTAAAAGATAAGACATGAATATTACAGTGTCCACATTTTGTACAAAGCATGATTTTGATCAGAAATATCCAGAAGTATCGATCTTTTCTCCTTGGCAAACAAACCTGTTCTGCAGAAGGACTGGGCAGATTAAACATGAAGCAAACAGAAAGGAACTTCTGTGATGTGACACAAGATAAATAAAGGTTATGAGCACATAAGCATTGTGGATGCTGAGGTCAGTTAGTAAAGTGCTTTCTTCCCCTTCTCTTATCTGCTCTTGGCAAAACAACTTCCCACCATGTAAAGGTCTTTTCTGATATGGTAGAAACTTTGCACGTCCTGTCAAGCTTTCAGCAACTCAGTTCAGTTATACACAGACAAGGCAGTAGTGATCATGTTCCTAGTTCCTCCTATGAGTCCAGATATTAAGAAGCTACATAACTGGCCCATAGAAAATGGTTTCCTTTGATATGCTTATAAACATGGAGCTCCATGACTTTAAAATACTTTTCTTTTTTTCAGTTAAAGAAAAATTCTTTGTCCCAAATTCTTTGTCCCAAATCTTTGTTACACATTGAATAGTTGCAGATGATTTGAATTTAAATTGTTTTACTACTATGCTTTTTTCTTGAGAATTTTCCTCTAACTGGTTCTAATGTTTTTTGCCAGATTTTCCAAAATCTCTTGTTCCCTAAAAAAGTGCCTGAGCTTCCCAATCATTGGTTGCACCCCACCCTGCCTTGGGAAATTAAGAAGCCTCCCTCCTGATAGCCACTCCTCAAGCACAAACCACCTGCTGCCATGGCCAGGACACCATGGTGTCATCCTGCATGCCATCTCTGTGGAACCATTCTGAGGGGCAGAAGAACACATCCTGCATAGGAAAGCATATGGATTTTTATGTCAGGGATGAGTGACTACTGCTTACCTCAGTCTCATTAGTGGCACCATGCAGTGGTTAGGTGCATAGATGCAGAGCCAGAGAAGACTGTTGGCTCTACTGTTTTCTACCTGAGTGACTCTAAACATTTCCCCAGCTCACTGTGCCTCAGTTTCTACATTAGGAAAATTGAGCTAATAGTATTTAATTTATAGAATTGGTATAAGAATTAACTATTATTATTTTCATAGTAAAATGTATTTTTAAAAATTCACGTTTGCATGAAGTTTGTAATATACCTAGAACCAGGTTCCAAATAATTCTTAATATCTATCACAACTAGTCTCCTAAATTTCAATGAATTGATGAGTAGAGAAAGCACTACTACCACTGGTGATGGGGGAAATAAAGGGAAGAAATCAAGCACGGTCTCCAGGCAATTCCATCTCCTTATGTGGGTCACCTACCTCTTACTTTACGTGGGTTCTTCTATTGTTCATGATTCATTTTCACATATAGTTTTATGGTAATTTATTTATTAATAAGTGGTTAATTTTAGCATGACTTTTACCTTATGCGGATTTTTTAAAATATTTTTTTAGTTGTAGTTAGACACAATACCTTTATTTTACTTATTTATTTTTATGTGGTACTGAGGGTCAAACCTAGCACCTCACACATGCTAGGCAGGTGCTCTACCGCTGAGCCACAACCCCAGCCCTTATGTAGATTTTTAATGGAAATAATATCTGTATTTTCTATGTAATGTATATTATTAAAGTTCAAATTGTTCTATAATCCACTTTTCAAAATTTCATCTTCCTTTTCCTATAGCCAACATTAATGTGTCAAGATCAGTCCCAGAGCAGTCCTCCCACAGAAATATCCATTTGTAACATGAAGAGATCAATGCTGAGTATATAAAATATAAATATAATCAAATACTATAAAAGCATTTTTTCAGAAAAAAAGTTGTATTTCCATCAGGAAACTTCCTGGGTACATATAAAATGCAATCTGACATACTTACAAATTTGGCTTTCATTGACTTTCCTGAAGCTCCCCAAGGCATTAATAAGAAACACCTGTGTCAAAATAAACCTTTATTTTATAGGACAGTCCTTAGAGCTTCATGCCATGTAAAAACTGTTATAATTTAGTTGTAGGTATGAAAGAAACATTGTATAAAATGACTATTTTAGGACCATTGAATTTTCCTTTTCCCTGAACTGGCATTTAGTTTGTCTAGCCTTCAGTCACGGATCTCTACGGTAGACAGTTTCTTTTTATCACAAGATCTTAACTCAGAATGCAGGGGTGCAGCTGTGTCAAGCACTGGTCCTGAGCTTTCTGAGTGTCTTGTGGGCATAGCAGGAACTTTGCCAGCTGTTGAGTAGGCCTGCAGTTGAAATAGTGTGCATTCTTTTCCAGTCCTGGCAGCTGCTGTGTTTGCTTTCCGAGCAGTGAACCTGATGGAGGTGACATCACTGGCTGCAGCTGAAGTAAGGATAAGTTTCACTCAGATGGGATGGAAATAGTTCCTGAGAGATTGCCAGGCTCAGTCACTTTAGTATCTGATGCATAGGACACACTTGCAGCCCATTTTTTAACTCTGGTAAAACCTCTAAGTTCTGAGCTAATATTAAGTGTTCATATTTCCCTAAATCCCTTGAAAACAACCTTCTTATGAAGGGACCATATATGAGTTTATTATAGAAAACCATTATTACCATTATAGCAAGCAGATACCTAGTAATTTTAATAGAAACTATCGAAGCTGTGTTATGTTTTCTTATTATTGTTTACATCCATATGTTATAGAATAGAGAAAAGCCAGTTGAAAGAGTTAAAGTGTGTGTGTGTGTGTGGATGATAATAATAAAGACATATCAGCTTTTTTGGTTATTTTTATTGTGAGTTAGTTATTTAAAGCTGATTTATTTTCAATGGTACAATTTACACCTGAAATATGGTTCAATTAATAGGGCTTACCATATTATTCTATTAGTTACCACTAATAGAAATGTAAATTTTATCCTTAAAATAGCTGCCAACATGGTTTATTTAAGGGAAGAGGATGTTTATGTGTCTTGCAACTGAATAAATATTAATTCCATCTCAAAATGATTTCCTGAAGTCAGTTACTCCTTAGACTATAATAACGGGTCTAGGATTCATAATGTACGTTTATTTATAGAAGCAAGTTGAAATGTTAGACCTCTTATAAACTCTTGCTACCTTGTATATTTGAAGAAGGCTCAGGCTGTGAAGGTCTAGGTTATTTTCTACTGCACATTTTAGCTTTGTGCACATGTACTAACATGCATTCAGAAAAGAGGGGAGTTGTAGCTTTCATACAGAGATTTAAGATAAATCATGCCAAAACTGCATTGTAATGGTGTTTTTATTGTATCTTATTTCCTATACTTCACTTTGCAATTAATAATTTTTTTCGTTTTTCTATTTCAGGCAGTCCTTGCTGACCTTTCTACTTTAAAAGTTATGCCACTTCTTCAAATTTTCCTGTTTGCTACTGTCACCTGATTTCTTCAAGGTCATTGACAAGACATCTAGTTTTTCATTAGAAACTAATCATGAACTATGCAAACTCTGCATAAAACCAAAATTAAATTTTGCATATAAGCCAATAAAGATCATGTTCCCTCCTGTTAAAGCTAAGTCATTTTTCACTTTTTGAAACAATAATTCTGCACACCAAATATTGCATTGCATGCTGCTGATTTTCAAGAGAGAAGCAATAAACATAACTTATGCTACATTGAGCTTACTATATCTATAATCCTGACTTGTTAAAGGCTTGTAAAAATATATGCAATAAGAACTAAAGATGCTGTAATAAACTTCAAGAGGTCATGTAGCTTCTTGGACAATTCTTTTATGTCAGTGTATAAACTTATCCCTAGATAATGTATTATAAATGTTTGTAAATGTCTTACAAGTTGCTCTTCCCCCAGATCCAGGGGTAGAATATGATGTGAGAAGGCCTGAAAAAGGTACACTTTTGATATTAATAACTTTTCACTCACTAGGGATTTTCTGCCCTCTCCATTTTATTTCTCCCTTAAGCATCTCTACTGGGAAAGGTTTAATACTATTTTCTCCATCTAGCAATATTTTATTCGTCACTCGCTGAAAGTCAGAACATTATAGAGATTTCCCTCTGCACTTCTCAATCTTCCATCTCTTGTTTAGAAGCTGAGGACTGTTGTCAGGTTCTTTTTTTCTAGAAGAACACAAAGAGGGCACCCCAAGGAATGAAGGGAAAGAAGAACCAAAACCACATCCATTGCTGCTGGAGCTTGAGTTAACAAGATCCACTTCTAGGCCGAGCAGCTGAGATAGACACTCAACCCAGAACTGAAGCCATGATGCAAGGCATTGTGTTGTATTTTGGTCTTCATTATAAGTCTAGAGCCTTATTTTATATTACTTTCTAAAGAACCACCTTTTCAGTAATATGGAATAATAGTATGTGAAAAAAAATCCAAAACCCATTGTCTTCTGACTATAGGTTCAAAGTCAAGAGGCTAATCACTTTAGTAAAACTGTAAATCAATAGATAAGATTCTTATTGACTAGGATTTTATTAAGCTTAATCCAAATGTATTTCATGAATATTTTATTTTGACAGTATATATTAGGAAATGTATGAAATTTAGCACAAAACGTTAAAGGTGATGAAGTTTAGTATAACTAGTTTATTGATTTGAAAATCTACTTATATAGTTATATTCATCAGGTATTTGTTGACTTTCTAAGTAGTAAATATTGTGATTGATTTTTTTTCCATGAAGACTATCACACCTGATTGATTCTTAATAAATTCCATTTTACTGCTTTTGAAGGTGACACATTTATAACATGCTTTGCCATTGAACATGTACAAATGCACATACATGGAGAGGATAAGTATACATCTATGAATGTTATCACTCACCTCCCTCATTCTAAAAAGATGACAAGAATATTGGGAAGAAAGTGTGGTTTAAATGATCACTGTCAAATGTGTACAGATACTACCATATTTGGCTTCCTTCTTTAGAATATTCATAAGCTTTTTAAAAAGAGGTGATGTTGTAGTCTAATACAGAATATTGTGGATTTGGCCCTAGCTATAAGTACCTAAATAATTAAATCTCTGTTAACTGCAATTTAGGGATGGGAGGGAAATGGACAGTAGAAAATTATTGTATCTGCTCTGTTTACCTTACAAGATTATATAAGAACAAATAAAAAATATATATTTGAAAATGATTTTTTAAACTGCAAAGCACCAAGCAAATATAAGATATGGTTGATAACTAATTTCATATGTGACATTTTAAAGTCAAATGGTACAGATAATATATGAAGAATGCCCAATTACTTTAGCATTTGTATTATTTTTTTTTCTTGAAAATTTAAGACTATGTCTCTAAGAAAATAAGTGGACTATGACATAGAAGATTCTTTCATTTGGTACAGGTGGCTCTAGCCGTAATTCTGAATCTCAATCCCAAAACCAAACCTGGTAAGCAACCATATGTTTTACTGCTATCGCAAACCTCTCTGGTATGCCCTGCTCTTTGCTACTTTTTGGAATACTGGAAGGGGAAATCAGGCTCTTCCTAACTCTAGCAGCACTTCCTCACACTACCTCGCTTGTCTTCCTTCCATTTGCATTCTCCCATGTCACCTCCTATCTGCCACTAACACTGACTTCACATCTGCACTGCCAGTGATCCCAGTATCTGAGTGAGCAGTGGTAATTATTCTATCAATGGCCATTGGCACTGATGAAGAAATAGCCTGGGCAAATTATGTTTGGCTCTGCTAGATTTCAGTTGACCCACTAATGTTATATGCTGTGACCTAATATTTGGAAGAGCTTATTTAATAATCTTTTTATCTGAATGTGTGATAATGCAGTGTTCTGCATAATTGAAATTTACAGCTTGTCTTAACTGCATAGCACCCTGTTACACTCAGCATGCACTCTCTCCTATTTTCCAAGGAAACTAGAAACCATTAGGCTTGAGCCTCCTCAGCCTTCAACTTCAAAAGTTAACTTTGTTCCCCATGCTTAATTTCTTCCTTCTTGTCTCAAAAAGTGTCTAATCTATTCCTATAATTCTGTAAATGCAGATTTGATTGGGTCATTTCTATGCCTAAAAAAATTCACCAACTCCTCTTTGCTTAAAGGGTAAGTCCAGATTCTGTAGCATCACAGGAATAATTCTTCACAGCTGGATCTTCCCATTTTTATGCTCCCACACTGATCCATTATCCTAAACTTCAGCATCACCAGATTGCATGCTGATCCTAGACCAGCTGCAGCTATTCATTTTGTCTCTGCCAGAGGGATCCTCTCCATTTTTAAAGGTGCCCCTCAAAAACTTTCTTCTGTTGTAAAGATACCCTGGAGCTTATAAATTAGCATTACTCCCCTCTCTTTGTTCTCCGTAAAATTGTTCATCTGTTCATATGGTGCTTATAATATTGAGGGTTTTTTTTTTTCTGATTGTCACTTTATTCCCAAGGAAATTTTTGTTGACTCATCTTACATGTAGAAGTTACAAGAAGAAATTTGTCCATGTGAGTTTGTATCCTCTCACGTGATCCAAAATTGTTTGGATGTTTTTCTTGAAACATAATTCCCCTTCCATATCTATAGACTCCCTTCTTCCACAAAGTCTCTAATTTTTATTTGGAGTTCTGCCCCGTCCCCCATGTGCTTCAGGTGAGGCTACTCCCAACCTCCCCTGGCCACAGGGATTGCCCCAGGATCCAGGCTGTCTGCAAGGAGTGAAAGCCAATGAAACACTATTAGAAGACTTGGTTTAAACTTTCAGGGAACTTTCACTGTCTGTGAAAAAGGATGCAGGGTCTGAGCTTTTGCAACCTAGGAATGGAGAATGAAAAGCTCTTGTTTGTCTTTGCAGGCTTCCCATGGGCCATTTTGTTACATGAGCCATAGGATTTTCCTTGCAACAGAAGGATCCTAACTGCTGACAGTTATTTCCCTTTTAGGTGATCACCTTTTTAAATATGGGTACCATTAGGTACAGAACCTCTGCCTACGCACTGCTCAAACTAGAGTAGAATTTTGTTACCTTCTTTCAATCAAGATGCAACCATGATCTTACAAGGACCTTAGTAGGTCTACATTTTAGACCTACTAAGCTACTTGAAGTACCTAACACAGGGTATATATTTTGCCTTTGGTCATTTGCTCAGCTCCCTCTGCTTAGAATGCCTTCTCTTCTCTCTATCTAACTGTAACTTGTACCTCAAAACCCAACACAGGGAAGACTACTCCTCTCATGAACCCTCCTCCAACCCTTAATATACATATGTTATATCATGATCATATGTTAGCTCATCTTTCTTTTCTGCTATTCTGAGATGCCTTGTCTAGTAGAAAATGTTTTGGTTTTTTTAGCTTTAAGTCTCTAGAATCTAACATAATGCTTGCCCCATAGTAGACTTAATAAGTGATTATTAAATGAACAAGTGAAGTCATCTAATTTAATTCACTTATTTTACTGATAAAGGAACTTTCTGTGTTCAAATAATAACTTACCTATCCAGTGTTACCCAACTATTTTGTCTACCACGTTGATTTGAGACATTGCCTATGGAAGTTCAAAAAAGAATTATTTTCAGGGGAAAAAACTGCAAATGCTTCACTTAATTTTTTTTTCATTTAAGTCAACTTTATTATGGTATAATTATATACAATAAAATTATATGTTTTAAAATAAAACTCATTTTAAATGTGCAGTTCCTTAGGTTTTGACAAATATATGTACCCATACCACCACTGTCACAATCAAGGTACAGAATATTTTTATCATCCAAAACAGTTCTTTTTGTGCCCCTTCCCATTTATACACACATTCACTCCAAATACTCAGTGATCTACTTCCAGATTTCCCTTTTCTAGAGTTTCAGCATGTGTACTCTTCTGTGTCTGGCTTCTTTTATTCAACATAATGTTTTAAGATTTCTTCATGTTATTATGTAATCAATAGTTCATTCCTTTTTATTATTGAATACAAGTCTTCATAAGGATATATATCTTCATTTCTCTGGGGCAAATGTGTAGTAGTATAATTTCTATATAATATACAAGCACATGTTTGACTTTCTAAAAAGCCCTCAAATTTTTTCTGAAATGGCTCTACCATTTTACATTTCTACCAGCAATCTCTAAAAGTTCCAGTTATTCCATATCCTTACCAACACTGGTATTAACATGTTAGTAATTCTAATAATTAGTTTTAGTGTGGATTTCCCTAGTTACTAATGAGGTTGATCATCTTTTCATGCTTATTTTCCATTTATATGTACAATATTCTTTTGTCAAGAGTGCAAATCTTTTGATCACTTTTAATCGATTGTCTTATTATTAAATTGTAAGAATTCTTTACTTAGGCTACATTGTGTTTTGCAAAAATCTTCTCCGAGCTTATAATTATTTCATAATTTTAATTATTCTTTTAAAGAGCTAAAGTTTTTATTTTGTTGAGGTTTAATTTATTTTTATTATTTATATTTTTGGCATTCTATGAAATCTCATCATAACTCCAGGTCACAAAATTTTTTTTCCGATATTTTCTTCTAGGAACTTTATGGATTTAAGTCTACAATCCATTTTTTAAGTTAATTTTTGTATATGGTGCAAGTAGAGGACTGAGCTCATGTTTTTACATATGCATATATACACCATTTGCTCAAAAGACTATCTTTTCCTTTTACATCTGCACTTTGTTCAAAACCAATTTGCATGTATGTGTAGGCTGGTTTCTGAACTTTCTGTTTTGTTTCATGGGTTTATGCCTGTTTTTATTCCAATGCCACACAGTCTTGATTTTT